AGGATGCACCTTATGCCAAACCCCATGATAATGAGGACATGGACGCAGACATCCACGAACAGCCCCAAGACCCTCCACCACCCAACTATTTCCAACAACTTTTGGAGGGTCAACAACAACTACTTGCAGGGTTCAACCAAATGAACCTTAACTACATGGCTATGGGAGAGCGGCTCAACCAAGTGCAGGAGGAGCACAGGGCAAGTTTTCAACGGATGGAGGAGCTCCGGGAAGCCGACATGCATCGATATGAAGAGGATCAACGTAGATTCTACGGACCTATGTACTCTTACATGACCCATCAAGGATCCTTTCAGACTATGACGAACTCCCCTCCACCACCCTTGTGGTATGACCTCACTCATTGGGGTAACTTTGGAAGATTTAGCTCCGGGGGTGGAGGGTACGATGGCAGAGATGGCGGGGACACATACATGGGCGATGGCGGGCAGGGGAGCGGTTTCGGAGGCAGCTTCTATGGCGGAGAAGGCGGGCACTAGGGACAGTGCTTGGACTAAGTGTGGGGGAGAGACTCCTCATGGTATGTAATTTCATTTCTTACCTTTCACTACGCATGAATTTCTTTTACCCTTGATACACACAAAAAAAAGAATAAATAAAAGAAAAGAAATGCTAGTTAGGATGAAAACCCAACAAAAATGGGCAATCTAAGCAAAAAGGGCTTATAAAACAAAAAAGAGTGAGTTGGGGAGAATGAAAAATAAAAAGAGATTCTATGATGAAAACCTGAAAAGGCTCCTAGACAAAATGAGAGATATGAGAGAAATATTTGTTTTTGCAGGCACTCATTTGATCTCTTTGAAGAATAAGAAGATTCAAAAAGAAGAAGCAGAGAGGAGAAGAAGAGAAGATGAACACTAGAAGGCCATAAAACCCAAGATGATATTTGTAATTTGAGCTTAAAACTCATATTTTATCCTTGGTGGTCTTTGTGTTTTTTTTATCTTGTTAAGATTGTTGAATCTGTGGAAGACTTGACACTTGTGAACATTTGACTTTACTCGAGGACGAGTAAAGAAACTAAGTGTGAGGGAGTTGATAATCATGTAATTTCCATGTGTATGTTTGTATTTTTTAATTAGTTTTGATTGATTTTTACTTTGGAAATTACACACTTTTGGTGTAATAGTTTAGTTTGTTAAATTCTTGTAAATTGTTTAGATTAGGTTCATTCTGAGCTCAGACAGGTCTTGATCACTCAAAGGACAGTTGGTGAACCCCAAAAAGTGGAAGAAAGGTGCATAATCTCAAGACAAAATAAGGATCCTGAATTTTTGGCCTATACCCGGTCGGGTATCATCTATACTCGATCGGGTATCTCGTTGAAACTTCAAATCGGATCGGATCCGAAGACAAAGGAACATGCAGGGAAGATTTTGACCACGATCGAGTGTCTATACCCGATCGGGTGGACCGACATACCCGATCGGGTATGCCTTTGAGTTTAAACCCCAAATCCGGTCGAGTATGGCTCGAATATCATTTTCCACACATACTCGATCGGGTATAAAAACACACCCGATCGGGTATACATATAAAATATAGCCAGAATCGATCGAGTATGCTTCGAAGTTGACGTTTTACACATACCCGACCGGGTACCGTGTATATACCCGATCGGGTACCCGAGCTGCATCCCAAGAGCCTATAAATACACCCCCTTTCCTTCACAATTAGAGAACCAATTCCGATATACTTCTAAGCTAAGTCTAGAATAGTTCTTTCTTTATATTTTCTTCATGTTTAGTCTCCAAATGAGGAGCTAAACTCTTCCATCTTGGTTTTGCTACTTTGAAGCTTAATGATTTGTAAGTTGTGAGTGATTTTCTTTAACTTTTTCCTTGAATATTAATTACTTCCTATTCATATTCCATATTAATATTTTGAGCATTACTTTAAAGATCAACTAGTTTTGTTTCATCAATTAATTATTACTAGAATCAATCGGTTAATACGCTTGTTATTAATTTGGTTCCTTCAAAGGTAGTAAACTTGGATTGTTAATGCATCTCATGGTTAATAAACCAAGGGAAATTAATTATATTGATTAAACCAATAAACCGCTTGTGTTGAGGTTATCAATCTCAATCGTTTTCATCTTAAGCTTATTGCTACTATCGAATTAATAAACGGCGCTTGTTCTATATTGACTCGATAGTAAGTTTTATTAATGAACGCATCTCGTTATTAATAACTACCCTTGATGAAATGGATATACTCCTCGATTGAGTATTCGAGAGGAAGATAGTTAAAGATATAACCAGGATCGACGAACATTTCATTAAGTGAATAAAAGCAAAACCAAGTCTTCATCTCTATTAAAGTAAACCACATAAGTCGTTCATCTTAGTGTTTAAATTTACTTCAAGTTCAACAACAATCAAAACCCCCCGTGTTACTAATTATATAAAAGAAAAGTATTCTTTTCCCTGTGGATACGAACCTTACTTCGTTATACTACGTATATTTGTTGTATTGTATTTATTTTGAGTGCACCTCATGACAAGTGCACGTTAGACGTGCATAAATATTTTGATGGGAAAACTTCATCTTCCTTATGATCTGATCAAATATTTCTTCCATGCCTAATTGTTGGGATCGAATAGACTAAAAGATCACATTCTTTAGCCTATATAAAGCCCTCAATTCATCAAACAAAGAACGTCCAATTCCATAGCTTAAATTCTTAGATTTTTATATTTTTGTTCTTGGTTTTTTCTTCAAGTTCTTGAGGAGGGAAGATTATCCTCCGAAATCATTGGTCTTTAGGTATTATTTCCTTTGTAATTTCATATTCCTTTACATTTAATTGTTGTATTGTGATTAATATGAGCATTAGAGGCTAATTTCTTAGCTAAGACTAGGGATAAACATGTTTTTTACAATACTTGTAGAGCAGAACACAATACTAGTTTGGGTTGACCTTCCAAGTTTCGATTTGGTGTGTGACCCAATCATTTCGATCATCAATAATGCTACTTGTATATTTATGGTGTACACCCCCCTACATCATATATAAATCCCCCACTTTTTTACCCCTCCCTCTCTCACCTTTTCATTCATACGAAAACCTCCCATTTTATCTTCTTCCCTCCCATTTTCATCGCATTCACATCCACAATCACTCAATCTTGTTCATTACTTCTCCATCTCCACCATCTCCACCATCTTCTACCTCCATTTATCTCACCCCATATTCATTATCATTCATCTTCACCATCTTCCATATTCACCACCTCATCATCTCTACCATTATCATCTTTTAGGGTCGGTTGAAAAAAAGTTTGAGTTGCCGGAAATTAGTTAACGGAAAATTATAGATGAACATTCACCAGAAAATTTGTATGTGTACACAGACACTGCTTTTTTCCAATATCTATGTACACAGATAAAATTATTATGCGCAGACAAAAGGTATACAAATCATTTGTGTACAGACAACTACATGTTTGTGCGCATACATTGGTTTGCATTGCAGAAATGCAGAGTTTGGTTGCACTTAAACCAATGTTTTCACACAGACATTTAGTTGTTTGTATCCAGATAATTTGTACTCCCTCCGTCCCTGAATTATCTTCAAACTTTCCTTTTTCATCCGTCCCAAAATTATCTCCTCCTTCCCTTTTTGGCAAAGAATTTGTGGTTCACAATCATTCTTACACATTCTTACACATTTCTCTCTCCTCTGCACAACTCTCCACCACACAAAACCCACTATCTTAATAAGTGTGCCCAGCTGAAATGGGAGATAAAACAGGGACGGAGGGAGTAAATTTTTTGTCTATGCTCAACAATTTTGTCTGGACACACAGACAAAATTGTTATGTACTGACAATAAAAAATTGTCTCTGCACAGACAACTAAATGTTTGTATATGGACATTGAATTCTGTGTTCTATGGAAGAATTGTCGGTGTTTGGTTGCACAGAAACCAATGTCTGTGCACAAGTATTTAGTTGTCTTTACACAGACAATTTGTAAATACTTTGTTTGTGTTTAATAATTTTGTCTTTGTATACAAACATTGAAAAAAGCAATATCTGTGCACAGACATTTAGTTGTCTGTAAACAGACAATTTGTAAACTTTATGTTTGTTTTTAATAATTTTTTCGGGCACACAAACACTGAAAAAACTAGTGTCTGTATACACAGTCAAAAAATCTGTCGAATATTCACTCTAGTTTTCCGGTGACTTTCTGACGAGTCTCAAACTTCTTTGTTTCAATCCTAGAAGCTAATAATGATAAAGATGATGAATATGATATGGTGAGTAGATAAAAGTGGAAGATGATGGAGATAATGAATATGGAAGATTATGATATGGTGTTAGTGATGAACTAAAGATGTACAAGATGATGAATTGGGGGAGATGATAAAGATGAAGATGGAATAAAAGAGAAAGAAGAAGAAATATGGAGTATTTAAGATGTTTTCTTTTGGAGCCATGGGGAAAGAGGGAGAAAGTGGTAAGATGTAAAAAGAGAATGGTAAGAATATGGAGTATTTAAGTTGTTTTCTTTTGGACTGAAATTTATTGGCTAGTCTGGTCTGGTCTGATCTGTTCTGATCTATTTAAGTCTGATTTGAACTGGTCTGACATGGTCTGGTAAATGTCTGGTCTTTGTATATCTTATAACTGTTGAAGTCTGGTTTGGTCTGATACTCTGATCTGTTTAAGTCTGATTTAGTTTGCTCTGTTTAAGTCTGGTCTGATATGATCTGGTCTGATATGATCTGCTCTGGTATGAGATTAAAAGTAATCCTAAAGAAAACATTCGATGCATGGAGTGTTTACAAACTTTGTGTACATTTTTGTTTTGATCATATCCCATCACCGTCTGGTTTTTTTATTTTCTTATACTTAAAGTTTTTGAAATTGATAAAACCGTTGAAAAGCACATGAAGCAAATTACCCTGTTAACTTTTCTTCCATAATCTAAGGGCCATTTTTTCATCCAAATTGTGTTCGGCTTAACACTTTTAATAATGAGGAAAGTAATACGACTTTTAAATTTGACCAAAAAGACTAATTTTTAGTTTACGCCCGATAAAAAACTCTCCCTTTCCCCATCTCCCATCTGCATTCGCCACCGCCACACATCACGCCATCGCCGCCGCCAATCCAAGGCCACCATCTCCTTCTCCGTTGTTCAGGTCCAGGTGCACCGTCGCCGCTCATTTCTCTCTTATTCTCCTTAATTCTTCTCGTTAATCGATGTTGCTTCTGGATTCGTTAGTGATCCCATATGTAAATGCCATAGTTGGTTTTCCAATCGGAAAGTGTAAATGAGGTTGAACTTCAGGGACTCATCTTTTTGTTATCGATGAGCTCATTATTAGGTTTTAGATCAATGCAAATTTAAATTCTAATAAAAACTACTCCGTACTATGTGTATTCTTTGGATATCTTAGTTGATTCTGATTCAAAATAATGTATCAGTTTTAGGCCTTCTTAAGATGTTAAGCATCAAGCATGAGCTGGCTAATGTACTGGATCCCACAAGGTTTATACTTGGTGGTAATACGAAACCATATTTGAATTTCTATAGGTGTGTCTGAAACACAGTCTATAAACCACTCACTGACTCACAAGGTTCATCGAAATCCCCTACTCCACAGTCTACAGATCTTCTATTAGTTCTCTAGCTTTGAAGATATGTGTACGAGACACCAATCTTAGATATCTTATTTTCACTTTTAGAATCAATAATAATTTGCATTCTTGATTTCCCCCTTTTTGTGATTTATAAAATTTATATATTTCTAACAGATTGATTTGACTTTATATTTTTTATCTTCTTCTTCGTCTGTCTTTTTAAAATATCAGGGCCATCTTTTACATATGTTTACAGTGTGTGCATTCGAAATTTGTAATTTTGATGTTATCTGCTACTACATTAAGAAATCTGATTTTTTTCAGATGTTTTAGTTGCTTAGACAACTCTTTTATTGAAAACAGAAGACTAAAATTTAAAAGAAGTTCTAAAAAATTGACAGATACCTAACAATCACTATGGGTGCTTGAGTGCTTGTTTAAAGGAGACTTACAGTCTGAGTCAGCTTTTGATGGTTTGCAAAGAAAACTACTCCACATTATTTACACAGAGTTCTTTGCATCATCTCTCCGAATTCATTTTCAAAATGATCTCTTTGTTGCATTTTAAATAGATTCCTTTTTGTTAAACAATGGGATCATTGTTTTTATTGTATAACTGAGTAAAATTTGACTCTTACAGGTGAAGTATATGGAAACATATAACTGGTGTAGAATTATATTGTTCACATGCGCCCATAATGGTCCCAACTCCCAACACAATATATTTAATTGCATTTATGTTTCCGGCACATTTTGCAGTGAGATCTTGAAGATGGAAGGAAGTGAAGATACTGTATTCACCCCTGCTCTAGAAAAAATGAAATATATCAAATCTGAGGATGGAGAAATGCTTACTGAACCTTTCTTGGAAGTTTGCAAACTGATCTTACCTGTAATAGGTATCAACTTTCATCTCTTTCTTCACATATCTCTGTATTGTCAATTTGAGTTTGTTTTTGGTATTCATTTCACACAAATAAAGTTTTATAGAATATAGAAAAAATGAACTAGTTTCACTAGTACGGATTTTACAACAACAATAACATCCAAGCCTTAGTCCCAAAAGTGTTTGGGGCCAGCTAACATGAACCGACATGTGAAATCAGAGTGAAAAAAGAAAATAGAGAAAAGTGAGACAAACAAAAACACATCAATCATCCACACATATACTATACTCTCATCTAATCCAAGAGTACCATATCATTTTTTACTACTATAATCCACACTTCTTCTCCCCACCTCTCAATTCGTCTTACCAGTATGGAATTTTAAAAGACTAAAAACCACTATGTAACCAACGCAAATTGCCAAGTCCTTCAAAGTTTGCTTAAGTTGTGCCGAACTAGAGCTCTTTTTTGTCTTTTTAGCATGTGTAAAGACTAAAGACTGTTTTCCATCACTTTACTTTATGTCAATGCTAGACAAGTTTGGTGCAGCCATGGCACTTGTGAAATCTGACATAGATGGCAATATAAAGGCGAGTTCTCTTTCTAAGCTGTTAAACCCTTTTCTTGTCTCAATTCTAGCCACCTATCGATATCTTATCATGCAATCCTTTATCTGCAAATTGATAAAAAGGTTCTCCAAGCTTTCTTCGACACAGTAATATTTCATGATTACAAGCATTAATTTTACTTCTGCTGCACCTTGTGCTCACTAACAAAATACATTGGGACTATAGATGACATCGCTCAGCAGGTTCTTGATTCAGTGCGGGAACATTCTGAACATGTTATGATATCCACTATAACATTTTTCATCTAATCTTCAATTTTATTGGTTTAGCATGGAATACATTAAACTCAAGATGTTACCACTTACCATTAGTCGTTTTGCCTTCTTATCTAAGTGACTAAGTGTTTTTTCTTATAGGAAGATATTACAAAACCAGAAATAATCTCTAACCTATTTAATCTATACACGATTGAGTTTTTTGGGTGTTTGGGCAGAGGCTGGAGAATAAGTTCAATAAAGATACTACAAAGTATATGAGGTTGCACAGCATGGTAAAAGAGGAAGTTGAAGCTAAGACAGCAACTGGTTCATCTAGTTGCACAAATGGCCTTCTTTGGTTGACCAGGTCTTGCAGTAGTGTGCCGCTTCCTATTTGTTTTTCTTATCACTTGGTGCTGATTTTGAGGATACTAGATAGCTCTGTTTATGTGATACCATATTGATCTAAATTCATATTTACTGACTATTGTTTGGATTTAATAGTGAAGTTCTTAAGAGCATTATATTGTAACTTCTGTAGGGCAATGGATTTCTTAGTGAAACTGTTCTCAAATTTATTAAAGGATGCAGAATGTACTATGTCAGACGCTTGCAAAGATTCATATTCCCATACCTTGGAAAAATTTCATGGCTGGATTGCTAGCTCTGCTTTTAAGGTAAACAAATTTAACCAAGTTTCAAGTGGTATTATTCTCTTTTAAACGAAAGGTAGTGAGAAGCTCTTCAATAAATGGAGAGAGTTAATGTTTTCACAATAAATTATCAAAACGAAACAAGAAAAGCTCCATGGAATAATAATCTTATAGCAGCATAAATGGTTTAGATGCTATTTATTTAAACTTCCTTCCAGATAGAACTTTATGCTCTGCATTGACTTTTTGCTCACAGGTTGCTATGAAGCTTGCTCCAGAAAGGAAGAAATTTATGGATGTCATCGGCGGGACTGGTGATATTAACAATGACATAAACAACTTCTGCACAACATTTTCACCATTTCTTGAGGAGAACCATAAGTATTTGGTAAGATTTCTGATCTTTCAAGTTGTTTGAAGCATGTTTGCTTCTCGATCTATGTGTGCATTCAATCGAATGTTGTTTAGTCTGTTTTAGCACACCATAAGCTAGCTTCCGCACTTTGAAATAAGCTATATTTTGGTTGCAGAGACATATTTTATAAGATTTTCTTAGCCTTTGTTTGGCCCAAAAAGATTGGAGGGGAAGGGATGGGAGGAAAATGGAAGACGATAAAAATATACTCGTATTATGTATGTTCAATGGAGCGAGGAGCAATTACTGTTATAAAAAATATATACTACGTAGAATTTTTCTTTTCCTTATATTTGTTATAGTTTTTCATTTTTATAATATACTATGTATGCCAAGTATTGTATACTAATATCAATAATAATATAGGGCAATTTTGATAAAAAGGTAAAATGGAAATTAAGAATAAATGAACTCTTCTGAAATATTCCAATTTGGTAAACGTGAGATATGTCAAGTTTGGAAGAGTCTAGCGTCTCCACTTTCCTTTCTCAGCCTTCCCTCAAACTAACCCAATGACACAACATTCTTCTGCTTTCCTCCCATTCCTTCCCACCAAACAAGGGCTTTGTATCTTTTCAAATAAATTCCACCAGGTTAGAACAAAGGCACTGACCCATTTTAACTTTAAGAACATATATTTTGTGCCCTTTCGTATCATAAAAGCTATCTTACATCCAAAAACACAAGTATTGAGATCATATACCTTTTAAACTTCAGAAAAGCTCAACCAACCCATCAACAACTGACATCACACCATCAAATTGAGTTTTTTTTTTAAAATAATGGGGGTAATAATTTGATAATTTGGTAAAGGTTTTGATGAGTTAGGTTAAATGACCGAATTTGTGGTCGAAAAGTGGCGCTCCATATCGCTTTTGATATAATGGTGTCTGTGTATTCTCAAATAGTTTGTATATTGGAAGTGATTTCTAAAGTGGTGCGCCGTATCGCTTTCGATCATTATTAGTGCTAATTCATGGTGATAGTCGGTATTGTTTAAAGTTATTTCTCCAGCTATAAGTGAATCTTTAAAGTTTATCCGCTCTTAATTACGTTATTATCAGTTTTAAGTCCATAACCTTGGTTTAACATCAAATGGTTATTTACATAATTTCACTCTTATGCACAGGCCAGTGTTGGAATGGATGGACTTAAAGCCTGAAAAGAGAGAAGCAATATTACCATTTGCGTTCTTGTTTTTACTAATTCACGAAGACCCATTAATGTATAACGATCGGTCATCTCAAAATGTTCCTCTTATTGCGTTCTTGTTTTTACTAATATACATATACACAAAATTTTCAAGGGATATATTATTATATTGTGCGAGTGAATAACTGATATACCTTGCCATAACTATATTGGTTTGGTGAGGATAGGATACAAAGCTTAGTGTTCTTCGTCGGTTTATTTTTGCTGCATCGATGTGGCCTGGTACAAAGGGTCGACTAATTCTCCTTTTACTGTGATAATCTTTGCGGTCTTTTTCTAGGGTTTTAGCCTTTTAGGGTGGGTTTTCCGGCGGTTTTGCAACTTGCTGTTGGCGGTGTGGTTTGTATTGATTATTGGTGATTATGAGTATCGTTAGTTGGAACTGTAGAGGCTTAGCCGCTTAGGCAATCTTGTGATAGTTCAGGTCCTCTTAAATATTGTCAATAGTTGAAAACCTGGAATCGTCTTTCTCATGAAGACCAAGGTTTGCGGGTCATGGGTGGAGGCAGTATTGGGTTCAGTGGGATTGCGAAACACCTTCATATAAGATTGTAGGTCTGCGTGGAGGCCTAGTCATAGGATGGCGTGATGACATCGAACTTGAAGTCATCAACTCATCCAATTATTTCATTGGCACGAAGATAATGTTATCCCCTTGAGGACAAGCTTGGAGGCTCACATGGTTCTATGGTTACCCAAAGAACAACACACGTGGGGAAGCTTGGGAATTGGTCATTGCCATGGATGGTGTTTGGTGATTTCAATGATATTATGGTGACAAGTGAGAAGAGAGGTCACATACCTCATCCCCAATGGAGGTTGTGAGGTTTCCGGGAAGTAGTCTGGGATCGTGGACTTTGTGATTTTCCTTTAACAGGTTACCAATGGACGTGGGAGAGAGGGAGGGGCATGTCGAATTGGGTGGAAGAAAAGCTGGACAGGGTTCTAATTAATGGCGTTTGGTTGAACATTTTTGGAGCGGTGCAAGCTTTCTCGTTAGAAGTGCCTCCAAGTGAAAACATATGGCTTTGGGGTGAGGAATGCGGTCATATAGTGAGCAATAGATGGAGGGTCGGAAAGAGGTTAGTAATACGAGACAGAACAACATATGTGCGGAAAGGAGTTACAACAGTGGGGTCGATACAGGAATCAAGGTTTTCGTACTCAAATTGAAGCCTGGAAACGACGTCTGACTTGGTTGAAAGGTAAAGTGGACATGAATAGTTGTACGTAGTTTATGCATGTCCTGTCAATGTATCTAATGCTTATGGAAAAGGAACGTATTTATTGGCGTCAATGAGCTAAAGAATTTTGGCTTTATGTGGGTGATACTAGTTCAAGATTTTTTCATAAGGCTTAAAATAGAGAAGACAAATGAATAAGATGCGGGGATTGTTAGAGCAGGATGGGTCCTCAATCACTAACAGAGATGATTAACGATTATTTTTTAGCGATTTTTCTTCCTTAGTTAGCCAATTTGCGGGTGATGTAGGCAGCTTATAGGGTATTTTGTTGGAACAGAACTTACCACTTTTGAAGCCGATCAGACCTCACGAGGTTAAAGCAGCCCTATTTGACATGCACCCTGACAAATCACCGAGTTTAAGGGAGTGTTTGCAATAGCTTAAAAAAGTCCTTTTCAGGTTTTAGCTTAAAAATAGGAAATTAGTATTATCAAACACTTGCTTTTACTTAAAAAAAGCACTATAACGTCAAAAGCTGTAAACATTGCTTCTTGGTATTTTTGTAATTAAATTGAAAGCAAAGGATAGTTATAATGGCAATGATTTTAAACTAAGAATGTAATACACATTTGGTCCAAAAGTTGGAATCTCCCACCTCAGGAGCCCCCACCCTGACCCGACAGGATGGTGGGGAGGTTAATCACGGTGACTCAGTCAGCAAAACGGCGGTAGGCCTTATACACATGCGCATCAGAGGTCCAGCCTTATTTCAGGTTCTGTAACCTCCACACGGCCGCTGCGGGTTTTGAACCTTGATCACTTGGTCCAATTTTTCCACCACTCGAGCAACTGAGCTACCCGTGCGGGTAAGAATGTAATACACACATATTACACACACATGCACACATATATACACATACACCCGCACACGACTACAACCTCAAGATTCTCATATCAAAATCCAAGGGCCTTGGTAGTTTACACATTAAAACTATATATCCAAAATGATTGCATGTAATGTTTAGGGCTTCATAGGCTTGGACTCGGGTCGGGCCACCCGGCCCGTGGACCGGCCCGGCCCGCTACTGTGCGGGACCGGGACCGGCCCGGTTCTCGGGTCCGGGTCCGGGTCGGGCATAGGCCCGGGTGGTAGGGCGGGTCCGGGCTCGGGTCTCAAATTTGGTGAACCGGCCGGGTCGGGTCCGGTCCCGGGCCAAATTGATTTTTTTTTTTTTCATTTTTGGGGTTCCACCCGGGTTGAGCTTGATGGGTAGGATGGGTTTGGGGGGGTTTGGGAGGGTGGGGGTGAGGGGGGGGGGGGGTAGGAAAGCAAAAAAAAAAAAAAAATCCAAACCGGAGGCCCGGCCCGGCCCGGACCCGGACCGGACCCGGTGGCTACCCGGGCCGGTCCCGGGTCCACCATTCTTGAACCGCCAGCCCGCCCGGGCCTAGGCCCGACCCGGACCCGGCCCGGACCCGAGTCCACCCCTAGGGCTTCATCAGCATTTCCTCTCCAAGTATTGTGTGTTCTGACTTCAAAGACACTGCCAAGTTGCCTCTAACGAGCTTGTCTTTGAACCAAATGCAACTCTTCTGTGCCAAACCACAAATAATTAATTCATATGTTGTTGTTATGACTAAAGATTCAATGGAGTCAAAGATTCATTATTTTTTGGCTTGAGATTATGATGGAATAAAGCAAAATGGCTCACTAAGCTGTCTGCGCTTCTTTGTTATGAAGCAACAGTCAGTCCATGCAATTTTAGACGAGATTTTCACTATGGGTCATCCGGAAACCGTCTCTCCGTCTTTAGTACAGGGGTAAGACTGCGTACATCCGACCATCTTACCCCACCGTAGGTGGGGGGAGCCTTTGCGGCACTGGGGTAAATGAAAATGAAAATGAAATGTTGTTGTTATGACTAGTAAAGCCACAATCAAAAGATGAGCTCTTATTCTGCATTGAGGGTAGGCTATTGCAGTTTACGTATGTCGATTTTTGCCGCCTAACTGGGTTACCATCAACTGGCCACATGCCATCTGACTGATAATGAAGCAACTAGGGAGGACGAAGAAGTTGGGTAACTAGCAGGCAAGTTCTTTGGCGGATCGGTTGATATTACCTTCAAGACATTGGATTCTATTTCTGGAAATGGACCGTGAATAGGGATGGCAACGGGGCGGTTCGGGGTCGGGTATACCATTACCCGTACCCGCCTCGTTTGATAATAATTTTCCCTGAAACCGCCCCGTTACCTGTCGGGTATTTTTTATCCGCGGGTAACGGTTTTCCCCGCGGGCAACGGTTTCCCCACGGGTAACCGTTTTATTAAAAGACAATTTTTTTTCTTCAAAATTAGTATAAATCCTAAAATGATTATTAACAACTTATAATTGACCACCAAAATTGAAAAAATCGAAATTAAATAGCACCATATATAAAGCTTTTTTATCATCACATATAAAGTTTTTTAAAACATCACAAAAAATTACAATCGTTTGAATCTAATATTCACAAATTATATATGTCTAGATTCAAAATTATGAATCTCTTACCACATCAACATCAAAAAATTAAGTCTTGTTTCGATAGTAAAATCTAAATATGAATCACAAAATTATTTAACTTCCAAAAATTCAATAATCATACCCCACCAGCATTCAACATCTAAATTTAAGTACAAGTAACATAATGAAAATGGAAAGTTTTTTCCTAAAATATTACTAATAAAAAATACATGGACATAAATGTGACTATAAGTTACCATGGATAAGTTTTATAGTCACTACGATATACTACCTCCGGTTCTTATTAAAGTTCCCAGTTTGACTTCACACAGATTAAGAAAATAAATTTGACTTTACTGTGTAGTGCACTGTTTGGCGCTGTTTGGACACTGTTTGACACTGTTTTGCACTGTTTTGTTTTCTAAAATAGAAGTGTGAACTTAAATAAGGGACATCCCAAAAAGGAAAGTGGAAACTTTAATAAGGAACGGAGGAAGTAATAAAAACTAAAGTTACTAGAGTCGCATTTTTGTCCACAACTTTTATTTTGATTATAGATTTGGAATTATTTCTAAAAAATGTACTTCTAATACTATGATTTAGGTATTTTTGTAGTTACTGTTTTAGAAACCTCATAATTTAAATTTAAAACTTGATATAAATTAGAGCAACCAATCAAAATTAATCTAATCATCCAATACACCTCTACAAAATTATTAGCAATTACATAAATTAAAGCAATCTAGAGTAATGTTTCCCAATATTTGGACTTTAAACTCATATGTGAGCTTTATGAAAGTTATTGAGTGAAAAATTAAGAGAGTCACAATGTGAAAATTGTGTACAGAAAATCATGAAAATCAAACAATCAATATGTGAAGAAAATAAATCTTGTAGAAGTTAACAAAGGAAGGATGATGAATGATATTGAAAATTAAAAATCTAAAGTAGTAAACTTTGAACACCAACTCCTCAGAATTGCAAAGGATGGCCGATTAGTTGAATATTTTTCAAAAAATTAGAGGGAATAAGTGTCAGTGTGTCACATACTAATGTATTACTATTTATATATACTTAATATATTAAATAATAAATACATAAACTATTAAAATATGTAAGTTAATTGAGCGGGTCGGGTAATGGTGCGGGTAACCGTAACCAGATTAAACGGGGTGGGTAGGTATAAACCCATAACCGCCCCATTACCCGTTTACATAAATCGGGTATTCCCCGTCCCGTACCCGTTACCCAGTCAAAGCAGTTTTCCCCATTTTGACCGGTTCGATTCGGTGCGAGTATCCACTGGGTCGGGTTAAAACACCATACTAAAAGTGTACTTAGCAGCATCCAAAACATGGTTATAACTTAATGAGTCTAGATTGCTTTGACTGGTATTCCCCGCCCGGTTAGCCGCATCCAAAACATGGTTAAAACAATGGGACGGTGGGGCCGTGTCTTCAATTTTCATTGGCATAATTGTCATGGGTTATGGTTGCAGCCTTGCAGGAGGTGGTGGTCGATGGTGTCAATGGCGGAACCAGAACAAAATTTGAGCAGGGGCTAAAAAAATTTTGAACCACTAGTTGAGAAGATTCATAATCTGTATCGTTTTAGGGTATATTTATGGTAATTTGATCTCAAATTACTATATAATATTATTTCCATTTGCATGAAGTGACACTTTATTTGTAACTATATATAATTCACACACAAGCGCACACATACATATACACATCAACTTAAATATCGACATTTATTCATTGGTATAACTGATTTGTTAGTGCCTAAACAAAATAATAGACTACATTTATTAAATGAGTTTATTTCGATTTAATACGCTTTCCCTTTTATTTTAGAATAAAAAGGTTTAAATAGAAATATAGCTAAACATGTAGAGGAAGATAAATTAATAACATACGGAGTATATATAAGTTACTAACTTATCAAGAAAATAATAATTTTTTTCTCTTTTCAAATAGCGTTACAAGTAGGTTATTTATTTTTTAAAAGGATATTTTATTTTTTGCAAAAGTATTACATGAATCTAATTATACTCATATAAAGTCAGATATTTCAAATATCAACAAGAAATTTTGGCATATTTGTACCAACCCAAGGAATAAATATAAAATTCAAGTAGTTTTGAAAAGTTTATTGATAAACTTTTTATAAAATGATATAGGTCAATGTTTGAAGGGGGAAGCAATAGCTAAAAGTCATTTTTTGTTGTTCTTGTACTAAACAAAAATGTAAATAACATGTTAATATTCGAAAAAGTACAAAATACGGAGTAAATATTTTGAATTTGAAAAATAAAAATGCAACATAAAAGTAAAAGAAATGTGGTAGGAAAAATATTAAAACTAATAACATTCCAAAAGGTTAAGAGATAAGTAGAGGAAGAAGTGTAATGGAGAAAGTAATTAAAAAAGGAGACTGAGCAAGGATCGAACCCAGGTCTCCCTGCAGCTTTAAAACTCCTCAGCCATCTGTGCTACTCCAACTATTGAGTTAGAAAGGGGTTAGTTAGTACATATTATTATTGAGACGGGGCTGAGCATGTATATATACATATATATACACTAAAACCTCCGGCGAACGGGGGGGGGGGGGGGGGGGGGGGGGGGGGGGCAGCACCGGCTCGCTCCCCCCTAGTTCCGCCACTGGATGGTGTGATGGTCAAAGGTGGTAGTCAGAGGCGGCGAATGTTGGCAATGGAGGGCGGCAGCGAGTGAGCGGAGGTGGTGGCTGGCAGTCGTACAAGGGAGGGATGGGACACGGGATATCGGAGACAGCGTGTCACTGTGACCGCAGTCGGTGTGTCACTATGGCGGTGTCACTGTGACCGCAGTCGGTGTGTCACTGTGGCTATTGATGGACTCGGGCCGGGTCGGGCCCGGGCCGCCGGGTAGTATGACATGGGCCCGGGACCGGCCCGAGGGTTGGACGGGTCCGGGCCGGGCCGGGCCACCCGCCCGGGTCACGGGTCGGGTCCGGTTCGGGCCGGTTAAATTTTTTTTATATAATTTATATTTTATAGTTTATAGTTTTATACGAGTATTAAAAACAAACTTCAATTGCATTTATTTGAAATGAAATAGGAACTACATTTGAAAATTAAAACAAACTTTAAGAGAAACATTTTGAAAATTGTAATCAATCGGAACTTCCCGCACCTCCCGATCCTTTGGCTTTGTCACATGATTTCATATGCTTGATTGTCATCCCGAATCCGCCAGAAACCCCCATGCTACATTTTTTCTTGCACCATTTGCAAATTGCGTACCACATCCCGGTTTTCGGGTCCTTCTGCTTATCAAAATTATACCGTATAATGGCATCTTGATTTTCCATCTTAACTTCTTAAGTATAAACTATAATGTAGATTAGTAGATATATAAATAATAAATATAATATATTGGAGAATAAGAGAATTAGAGAGTAGAGAGTTAAGAATAGGATTTAGGAAGAATTGGAGAAGAGATATGAAAAAATGTTTAAGATTAGGAGTATTTATAGGTTTTTTTACCCCCCCCCCCCTCACCAGCCAACCCCCCCGGACCCCCCCCCCCCTTTACCCCACCCAACGGCTATATAGCCGTTTGGGTTGTCCCCAGCCCCACCCCCAACGGCTAGTAGCCCAAGATTTTAAAAAAAAAAAATTTTTTTTTAAAATAGGACCGGACCCGGCCGGGCCGGGTCACATTATTCCAGCACCGAGCCCGCCCCGCCCCTTCCCACCGGTTCGGGCCCATACCCGGTCCCGGACCGCCCAACCGGGCCGGGCCAGGTCACGGGCCGGGTGGCCCGAACCGACTCCACCCCTAACTGTGGCGGTGTCACTGTGACCGGTGGGGCAGTCACTGTGGATGGTGGGCAGCCACTTTGGCCGATGGCCGGAGTCACTTTGGCCGAAGTCACTTTTGCACTGAAGGGATAATTGCGAGGTTGGTCACATTTTTAGAATTTTTAGAAACAAGTCACTTTTTTCTTTTATCCTATTTTTTGTACTATCCAGCGAAAAGGCCTTGTGCTGACAAGGTAGATGACAAGGTAAAAAAATACCTTATCTGGGAAATGTGTTTAAAAGTACTTTTGATTGGAATATAAGATTTAAAAGTATCCCTCTTTACAAAATAACTCCATCAATAACCCAAGAAAAATATTGTTGTTATATAAAAGAGTGAATTCCCGATTAAAATAGGAGTAACATATGGTCATTTAAAGTGCAAAAATTGGAGCCATTTTTTATAATTCTCTATATAGGAGTGAGTCATTATGTGTTTTGGGATAAATGCCCTACAGGGATTGGGGCTAGCCGTTTCCACTGTTGGGCCGCCGCCATCAGACTGCTCTGCCACACCCGCATCGGTTGATATACCGTGGTACCGGTCCATTATGAGCACCATGCCCCCTGACTTAAACCACACATGAAAAGTGATTTTTTTGTATGCGTTTTAGTAGCAAGATGGTGTAACTCGTGTTTAAAAAAATGTAACTTATGCTAATATGAAATGTAACTTGAGTTAGGTTGAAATGTAAGTTTTCTAAAACGGAATATTAGAAAATAAAACATTGATTCCAATGTAAATAATGAAAAAATTGATCCTAATTGCCCAATTACTTTTTGTAAATAATGAATATGTTTTATTTTTAATATTAGGACTATAAAAATGATATAGTTAAAAACATTTTTTTTGTTATTAGCAAGGGTTTATTTAGTGATGTAACTCGCGTACAATAAGATGTAACTCACGCATAAGAAATTAAGAATATGTAACTTTATATAATATCAAATGAAAACGAGTTTAATTGTTCAAATAATTTACCTAAATAGTGAATATTTTTTGTTTTTATTATTAGGGTCAAAAAAATGTTTTAAGTGTAACTTTTTAGATGCGCAATTAAATGTAACTTTAATGTAAAGTACATGTTTAAATGTAAATGGCCTTTAGGGGAGATGTAACTAACCCATTTAAGTCATTCATATACAGAGTTACGCTACACCATTTTCATCCTTGCGCATCCTGAACATCTATGCCGGTGAAACACACAATAGCAGGACAATCACGAGCAGGACGGCCAGAGTAAGTTCCATTAGCTTCGGATCCTTTATCACGGCAAATATATGAGACCACCACCAACAACAACGTCCAGATTAACAACCTCCTAAATGGATATGCGGCGGAGATAGAATTTCTACAGACGGAGTTGCGAATTTTGTGGTGGCGCATTTGAACTCGACTTGGCTTGAGTTCATTGTACTACTCAAACAGCTTAATGACTTGAATTGGCTCGACTCGATAATCTGGAGAAGTCTCGTGGTGGGTTCCTGAGTAGGGCATACGTGTCATTCCATCAAATGCATGCATTAAGTTAGAAGATTAATTATGGGTTCAAATACATACTTTAACAAGTCGCTTTCAAATTATAAATGACTTTTAACGAGTCATTTCGAGGTCAAACCTGGTATTGGACCTTAACGAGCTTAAGCCCAAGCCCAAGCCCAAGCCGAGCTCGATATTAGATATGTTCAACCAAGTTTGACTTAGTGATACTCGGGTTAACTTAAGAGCACTATGTGAAAATGAAACACAACACGCATTTAAATTCGGAGAAATCCCACTGAAAGCAAACTAGTGTACATGAAAAAGTGATGTGCATTTTCTAAAACCAATATTAAGATTTTGTAATATAAATAAATAAATTAATAATAAAATATAAATGAAATAAGTCTAGCATATACGTCTAACACTTTTTTTAGTTTTGTGCCTTTAACGTAACACTTCTTTTTAGTTTTGTGCCTTTTTATTATTTTCCCAAAACTTTTTTTCCTTTGATTTTTCTTCAATTTTCTTTTCTATTGTTTATCACTCGTCAGCTTCCAAACATGCCGTAGACCAAGTCCATGGCGTTTATAGGTATATAATAAAATACTCATATCTTTCATCTTTTGTGAACAATTATTTACTCCGTATCTTGTATTTAACCCCTAAAATTTCTATCTACTTCTGGTTGAGACTAATGGGCATGAATAACCAAGAATGGGTGGCCATTGATTTAAAATAATCATATTCATTAACATCATTTTTGTTTCCACGGAATCAAAAGATGAGTCAAACCTATCTTTGGGAGGTTTGGGTCCAAACTGTTTTTTACAAACTGTGCGGATTCAAATCCACCGCCACTTTTTTATGATATGTTTCATTTTTCTCTGGAGAATTCATGGCATTGCATTATTGAGGTTTCTTAATTAGATATCTTCAAAGCTTTGGTAATTATTCTTGAATCTGGATTTTTTTGCTAGCATTTTGGTTACATATATATGGATTTTTTTCTTCTCACCAAAAGCATTGTAAGATCTCAACATATATTGAAAGAATTTATTGAAAGCAAAATTACACAGGGCTTTAAGTAATTCTCATCGATTAAGGCTTGGAGGATGTCCACAAAGATGAAGGGCCTTCTTAAAGGTCTTAGGTACATATCTCAGATATTTGGTAAGCAATTTTTATCATATGAGCTGAATATGTAATCTAAATTTAATTTTTCTTTATGAAAAAATTTGAATCAACAATTTTTAGAGCTCTTTCGAAATCAAGTTATATTCTTAATCTTCCATGTTTTGGAAACCAAAAGCATGGCCTTTGGGTGGAATAAAGATGTTTTGGTTAGTTTAAGAGGATTGAAGATGACAAAATTTATAATGGATGTATTGTAATGGAGCAGATGAAGAGAAAGAAGCAGAAATACAGATTGGTTTGCCTACAGATGTAAAGCATGTTGCTCATATAGGATGGGAGGGTGGTCAATCTGTTGATAATCCAAGCTGGGTAAATATTTTTTTTTTAAAATTAATTACATTTACTTAAAAACCTAGAGTAAAAGAAGTTTGATAATCATATATGATTACAGATGAAAGAATTTAAAGGAGCAGCAGGGGCTCAATCAGCTCCTTTAGGCCCCTCTGCCGTCCCAAGAGAAAGTCCAGAGATTAAATGGGTTTCTCAAGGTATGCATTATTTTCTTAGTTAATTTGCACTATTTGTACCCCAGTTTTGAAGCGTGGGATTCAGTGGTTCCCTAGAGCTTTGTTTTTGTCTTATCGGACTTATCTGTCATATTTTCTACCAAAAAATATGGACTCCCCGGATTGATTGTTTGATAATTAGAGAACTTCAAACGGCTTTTTAATGCTAAAGTAGCTAGAATCCTCAAAATGAAAATTTCAGCCTTCTCCCCAATATATTTTGTCTATAGAGGCATTCCATTTTCTTGACAGTTATTGAATTGTGTAGCTGAATTCTTTTTCTAAACTTATTTTCTTTAACATCTCTAGCTTATTATTAGTAGTCAGTGCAACAATTTTTTAATATTCATTTCTTGTGTGCAGATATTTATTTAGATATAGTAAAATAACATTAAACAACCCTATGTTTTTTCGACGGCAAAAATGGAAGTTTGAGCAAGTTTTATGGAACAGAAATGATAACATTAATAAAAACCAATAATTCTAAAAATGTATTGCAGATTCAAACCGAAGAAATTCCAGAGGCGAAGTGAATCTAGACCGGGATCCCGACTTGCCAAAGGCATCAAGACGCCAAGCAGCAGCTTCTTCCTCTGAAAATCCGGATTCCCCTAGCAAATCCAAGGCCAAGCACTCCCGGCGAAACCGCTCCAAGGAAGCCGCGTCCGACGCCGCCAAGTCCGATTGCCCGGCTGCCGGAGATCTCCCGAAGAAGTCGCGGCGAAAGAAGTCCAAGGACGGCATCGGCGACGGCGGCTCCACCAGATCGACGAGATCGTCCAGGCGCAGCGCTGCTCAGGAACCAGGCCAGCATGCGGACGCCGAAGCATCGGTAAGGTCAGTGTACAGTGACATCGCCGGCGACGGCTCCACCAGATCTTCAAAACGCGGCGAAGTTGAATGAGCAGAGTGGGTTACCGTTGTCGTTTCTGTTAAGCAATGGCAGGATTGGAAATTGAGATTACGTTTTAATTAATTAACTAGTGAGGTTTTAATTTGTGGGAATTCGAAATCTGGATTCCCTTCGACATATTTGTTCATATTTTTAAAATTTTAGTTTCTAGTTAATTGACTTCTATAATTAACAAACACCAGATTTTCCCCACGACTCATTCCTAGAATCTTGTACCAATGTACCATGTCAATCGGGCTCCATTCGTCTCATTTTGTATAATTCTACTCTTGTGAGATCTTTTTCTTTTATACGAGTTATTTGAATTGTCGACTATTGTAATTTGTAAAGAGCAACGTCATCCCAATTGTAGGAGCCTAGGAGGTCTCACGGCCCAACCCGGGCCTTCATCCCAAACCCAGTCCCACCCCAATCCCAGCCCAGGCCCAACCCGAGGCCCGGCCTGACCTGGGCCCGGTCCATCCCTACCCGGAACCGGCCTAGAGGCTAGAGCAAGAAAATAGCGGGTCAACTCGATCCCAGGCTGCATCGTAAATTTGCTGGGACCAGGCAATATCAGCCCGAAACTAGGGTCAGACCGACCCAAGTCCACCCCTAGTATAGATATTTAAACGCACCACCATTGTAAAAGTCTGAAATTTTGGACTTATTTATAAACAAACTCTCTTGCCAATTCGTGGCTTTTACCAGATAGAAATTACTACATATATTCGTGTTCTATGGTTTAATGAACTTCGCCATGGTAAACAATTTAGGATTCGTTAAAGAATTTGTCTCTAGAAATGTAGTGGTTAATGTGATTTTATATTGGGATCAAATGATCAATTGTATATAGCCTGTATTTGCGACTCTAGAAATACTTGTATTCTACATGAAGCTGACGCCCTGACGCCCTTCTATCCTTTTCAGACATGGGGCAGGGGACATTGATCCTGGGCCCCAAGCCCCCATTGCCATCCTTAAACATTTAAAGGTAAAATTTCACCATAAATTATACATTCATGTAAACAAACTTATTAGTTACAACTTACAAGTTACAAGTTACAAGATATGGCCATAAACAACTTTTTTATATAGTTATGCGCCTAAATTAACATATATCCTCCTAACTATATGCCCTTCATCCTTTTATTTTACTACAATACATCTGTCATACTTCAGATCCACTTCTAAGTTGTAAAAGCCATAGCAGGGCCATTTTGATTTATTATTTTATTGGTAAATCATAAATGTATCTTGGAATAATTGCTAACAACCAGTTGTCACATTGAAGTGAATCAAATTGTACTTTCATCACTTTCCTTGACAAAAATACCAAACTGGGTGTCAACTTTTGAAAGCTCTCCAAGAATCGGATCAAATTTGATGATGCAAAATCATTTTTTCCTCTAACACTGGTCAGCCCACACCAGAAAACCGCCACGACTAGCATGCATGAGCTTTTATCTACAAAATTTCTCTTTCATGTACAAGGGATGGGAGCATCATCTATCATGAGAATACAATAGAAGTGCAAACAGCTTGCTTGCAATGTGTGTTGGTATCATTAATTTTTATACATATCGCAGCAAGAGATCTGCTGAAGTGTTCCTCAATCTACAACTTTGTCCCAGGTGAACATCTCCAAAATTATATCTGAATTATATAATGATAATTGAAATTAGACGGTGAATGTGATGGCATGCAACAACACCCTTTCATTGTTTGTAAATATATACTCCGTATATATATATCACTTGGTGCATATCTTCTGAGGTACAACTATGAAGTATGATAATTTGTATTATTAATGGATTACCTGTATTCACAATGCTCTCCCCATGCACATCGAGCCTTTCCATAATCCCAGTAGCAGTCGTCATCTCTCAGGGGGCCACGCTTTTCTGTTTTTGAGCATCAAAATTAAAGTAGTAGTATTTGCAAGTAAAGTTAGTGAGTGGATGATTATTCATCATTCTAACTCTCTAAGAAACTAATGATTTAAGTTATGTGCTAATCACTTATGCTGTTATGCATGGCCATATAAGTATATATATGAACCATATGTGATTGTAGAGTTGTGAAGGAACAGCTTTTGAAACTTAGGGCTCGATTGGTTGGAGGATTTTAGGAGCGAGGGAAGGATAGTAAAGAATTAATGTTTGTTTGGTTGGAAGAAATAGGGGAAGGGGAAGGAATTTGGAAGACTTATAAAAAACAATTATCCCCCATTTTGACTCCCCCAAATTGGGGTATTTCAGGAGATATCAAAGACACGCCTTGATTTTTAAACATGAATGGACAAAAATGGCCCTGTATATCAGTATATGTAACTTAAAAAGAAGCCCTAATTTCTTCGACATTCCTTTGCTTCATTGAGGAGTAGTCGCAATCCTCTCTCAAAAATGGATCAAACTAAATAGCTCGGTTTTTTCTTTTGATTTTGAAATATTAGTTATTTCTGAAAAAATTAAGCTTTGAAAAGATTTGAAATTTTAATGGATTAATTTTTTTGTGTATCACGTTTTTAAATTCTTTTATTTTGCAGACAGTTTTTCAGTTTTTTTACTCGTATCTTTAAAACCTTTTAGTTATTTTTATATTTATGTAAAGGCTATTTAGTGTTTAAATACAATATTATTGAAATTTATATTTTTAAAGTGATTGGTCATTTATATAATAGAAATTGCTCTAAATAGGAGCAAAAACGTTTTGAAATTCCAAAATAGGAGTATCATGTTTTTAATTCCTTGAAGAGGAGTAATCTGCCAAATTTGGAAAAAATGCCATGTTTTAAAGCCTAGTAATGCCAAACTTGGCAGAAATTTACTCCTATTCAAGGAATAAAAAACATGATAGTCCTATTTTGGAATTTCAAAACTTTTTTACTCCTATTTAGGGAATTCTCTCTCCATTGATTAATGATTATATGATTGAATTGAAATTAATAAATTATATCATAATTTAAATATTATTTCTTCTTCTACATATAGAATTGATTGATTGAAATAATTCAACATTTGATTTATGTCAGTTTGTTTTAATCTCTATGTATAAATCCAAGTAATATTAGGTCTCCTATAATGGTTTAATATTTAAATCAAGAAGTTTTTAATAAATAATTTCAATTAAAAATAAATAATTAGTCATAGGATTGCCAAGAATTTCACTTATTTTCATATATTATAATTTATGAACTTAGTAATATTTAGATTCATTACATTTAACTTTACAAATAAATAAGGGTAAATTTGGAAATTTATATTATTAAATTTCTCTCCTTTTTACCCAAACCAAACACAATTACTTGTCAAAAACCTTCCTTTCCCTTCCCTCCCCTAGCCTTCTTGACTCTCCCCTTCCCTCCCCTCCCCTTCCATCCCATCCATTGAACCAATCAGGGGCTTAGTCTATAAAAACTGAAAGTCTGATAACATATTTCATTTTCATTTCATTTCATTTTCATTTACCCCAGTGCCGCAAAGGCTCCCGCCTACGGTGGGGTAAGGGGGGGTCGGATGTACGCAGTCTTACCTCTGTACTAAAGCACAGAGAGACTGTTTCCGGATGACCCATAGTGAAAATCGCGTCCAAAATTGCATGGACTGACTACTGCTCCATAACAAAGAAGCGCAGACAGTTTAGTGAGCCATTTTGCTTTATTCCATCATAATCTCAGGCCAAAAAATAATGAATCTTTGGCTCCATTGCAAAGTCTGATAACATATGTGGGCGTATAACATTCCAATGACCTTTTATTTATTTTTAGAAAGCCTTCCATATCTTTTCCCTCCAGAACCCAACTCACAAACACACAAACAGACCCTAGTAGGTTGACCAGACAAGAGACCAACCTTTTGTGACAAACTCTGTTTTCTTATCAGGGTGAATATCATGCCACATCTCAAGCCATAACTCTCGCATCAAAACCGGGGATCTGACAATATTTCTGTGATTCGCTGCAAATAAAGAGTTAGAGACTTAGAGAGTAATGTAACCAGAGGAACTACATTGAGCTGTGCTGTGCGTCACAGGTTTAGAGTTAGACAAGCCTTTTATGAAATGCCATTCGTAATTTCGTATCTTGTTAGAAGAATGCTCCCTCAACTCTTTATTATACAGTATAGACAAAAAATTTATATGATGCAATCATTGTTTGGCCATATAAATATGGTGCCTAGTTATATATGCAACCTCCGTCCCATTTTATGTGTCCTAATTTGACTTGGAACAATTATTAATAAAGTGATTGAAAAGGAAAAAGTTGTGGTTGAGATTTGAGTATAATAAAGTGAAATGTTGTAGACCACATATTTCTTTCCAAAAAAAGAAATGAGACACTTATTTTGGGACAACCCTAAAAGGAAAGTAAGATAAGTAAAATGGGACAGGTAGTATATTTTATTCATTTGTGAGGCATAATGGTAAAAGAATATCAAAATCTTTATAATTAATCCAATAAATTAACTACAACTCCGTATAATTTAGTCTAATTGCCTGTCTAAACTTATAACAGGGGCCAGCTAAAAAGAGCTGGCCTATTTTTAAAATCATTGCAAAGAAACTAAATCACTACTACCTTTATCAATCTCCCAGACTGCTGTCCTCCTCGCAGGAAGACTTTCAGAATCTTCATAATAGGTTATGTACTTCACCCTAGGTGACCTAGTCATGTTGGGAATGATATCTTCACCGTGTTGGTGGTCTACGCTCAAATGGATTTGTACATCCGAACCATCATGCTCTGACTAAATTATTAGAGAGACATGGAGACAATAAAAATGAAGAGTTAAGCTGCAAAAATATGCTGGGCTGAAATCATTAATTAATAAAAAAACAAGACAGGCTGCAGAACAGTCCCTGATATAAAAAGTCACTGTGCGGTGCATATTAGTTTCAAATTCACATTTGTGATACACATGATTCACTAGTTAACTTTTTCATATGCATTGGGTTCACAAAAATGTTGATTTTACTATTTTAGACTTCGTAATATACTGACAGTTTCCATAAGAACTATTCCATATAATATATGTGAATAGAAAAACATATGATTGTGATGTTTTGGACTTTATCCTATGTAGAAAATGTTACATTATTTTTTCTGATTAAATTGATGTACATATTTAGTCGGATAGACTAGGATAGATGCAGTTGGTTGTAGATAAGCTTTGTTGTTATCAAGATCCTATTTTTTAGGATCTGTACTAGCTAGTTGTTATTTGTACAAAGTGTATTTATACCCTGGCCGTGTGGCTTATTCAATCAAGGAAGTTTTATTCCTAAA